TCTCTCAGTGGCCGCCCTTGTCTTTTATTCCACTTAATACAACTGTGTGAATTAATTATTTGTGTGAAGAGCAGTTGAATGCCTTTCTCACCCATTAGACTGTAATTTCTTGGTCATCATTATATCCTTAGTGCTTGGCACAATTCAGATACTCAGGTAATAATTTTGTCCTGTGAATGAAGTGGGGCCTTGTGTGGCCTCAATTTGTTTATGGTAAATATATTAGGGTTATTGTTGAAAAGAGACAATTGGACAATACCAACAAAAAATGGAAGAAATTGAAATATGAGAAAAGCCAAACAAAGATGGTTGTGTGGAAAGGGTTTCTCTCTTAAAGTACAGGAACTCATCTTTAAAATCCTTAGTTCCTCTCTCTGCTGACCAGAGTAATCTCCATATGCACAGAGACTGACTCTCAAGAACTTTCTCTCTGTTTCCTAGCTCCCTTCCAAAAGCTGTCCAGACACCCACCCCAAGTAGTTTTTGTCCTTCTCTGACCTCCCTCCTCAGCTGCTGCCCTTTGGTATATAGCTTCTCTGCTTTCTTATTTCTTCCTTAGATTAGCTCAAGACCCTGATTCAGTAAAGTAGATAATAGGAGAGGACTCAACAGCAAGGCTCTTTGACCCTCAGCAGATGTAGGAAGGGGTAGGAGGGAGACTCAGAGCCTGCAGTCATTTATAATACAGAATGTGTTCTGTGATTACTAATGCTCAGAATGGCTCCCCAGTGCAGTGTTCTCCTTACCCTTGTTTGTCTTCATAAAATCTGGATATTATCTGACTTGTAGTATATTTCTTTGTTGTTGTTTTGGCTGTCATTGCTGTCTCTCTCCCCAACAAGAGGGTTTCATGCTTCAAGTGTCAATTGTGTCCACTGCTCTATTCTCAGTGCCTTGAGAAGAACTTTCCCATAATCTGTGTTTAGTAAATACTTGTTGATTGAATTAATTTAATGAATGACAATTTTGAAAATAAGGATGTCTTGGATGGACTAATTAGCAACTTGACTTGTGTGAGTTCTGCCCTCCAGGATTGATGGAAGATTTTAGAAGATGACACAATGTCTCTTTTTGTTTGCTTTCAATTTCCGATTTTTGTTTCTTCTACTGAAAGGCCCAGACACTTAGTGCACCCCATGTCGTCCTGACTTAATGAGTTGAGTTCATGTCTCCTGACTTGTTTTTGGAGAACTTCTTTGGAACCAGTATGACCTAGTAAAAAAAAAAAAAAAAAAAAAAAAAAGATTTTTTGAGTGTGGTAGACTAGATTTCAAATTCTGCTTCAATCACTTACTAGTGCTGTAACGTGAGTTTCCTCTTCTATTGTTTGGGGTTGACAAGATCTACTTCACCCAGATGCAAGGAGAAATGAGGCTTTTAGTGCCTGCCATTCTGGTAGATCATGGACTACATTTCTCCATCTCATGCAACTCCACAAACACAGTTCTGTCTGTAGATAGCACCTAGTGGGGTCGTTAGATTCACTTAATGCAACTCTTGGAAGAGTCTTGATTCATCATCAGGAAAAGCTGCCCCTGGGCTCTGTAATCCACTAACTTAATTAAAGGCGAACCATCCTCAAGGTAAACCATGAGGTGACACAGGCGTGTTCTACAGAGAACCATTGTCTAGTCCTTTCTGATTTGTCAGTGGCATTGGATTAAAATCGATCCGTTTCCCAAACTCCATTGCTGTTATTTTTTTTATTGAATTACAGACCCAGCTACCATGCATCAGTCCTTCCCCCTGGGAGTGGGAACTCCTCTGCACAGCAAGGCTCTTTGACACAATATGGTTTGCTTGGAATTCATTACTCAGGAGAGCTGGTGAATTGAAGATCTATTACTTTTACATTCTGCTTTCCGTAGAGTGCCTGGCATAATGTTCTGGCTACCCTCCAGAATCATTTTGATTGTTTTTGTGCCCCTCCCTCGCTCTCTCGTTTTTTTTTCCTTTCCTTTTTTTCCAGCTTTGTTTTATTTTGCTTTGTATTTGGTGGTGGAGGTTAGGTGGAGATAATATAGTTGAAAAATATATCAATTCTAGGTCTGAAAGGTAGACCCTGAGTCCCAGCTATGTGCAATCATTTGGCATTTTAAAACCTGTTGAAAGGGGATGATTAATAGCATCTCTATGAGGGATGTTATATGTGCCTGGCAGATAGTAGGTACTCAGGCAATATGTGGTAAGCAAATGAAACAGTAAACACAGAAACTCACACAGTCACGCACACACTGTGACCTATAAAGAGATGTTCCACCATCAAGAATTATCATAATTCCCATCTTCTTCACATTAAACCTAATTATTTGTAAATTGAAGATTCTAGGCTAAGACTAAGAAAAGTTGAACTCTACTCTTGTTTGTGCAGCACACCTTGGAAAAGTCGTGTAATATTTTGAGACCTCTACTTTCTCATCTGTAAAATAGGAGGGAGAGGATAACTAACTAATCTTTTGCATCCATTTTTTTAATGCATAAAGACTTATTTATCCAACCTGGTATATAAAATTTTCAACTAAGTGATCCAAGCTGCATCTCTGTATGTAGATATATATAATTTCTCAGCCATCTCCTTTTTGCCCCCTTGCTCCCTTCTCCCTCCCAAACTTCTTCTCTCTCTCTCCCTTGTTCAATAATTATTTATTTAATGTCTACTAGGGGAAGGCATTGTTTTAGACAGTAAATAAAGCAACAAACAAAAACATCCATGCTCTCATGGAATATATTTGCTAGTTGGGGCAAAGAATGAAAAAAGCAGTAAGCAAATAGTGTGTCAGTGTGTGTTAAATGCAGTGTGTTAAGTTCTTTACATAGTAATAATAGTGATGGTGGATAATCGTTGAAGGTTCCCAGTTTGGTCTGAACCAAACCAAGTGCCCCCGTTCAAAGTGTCAGTGTTCCACTCCTTCCTAATCGATGCCCTAAAGTTCATATGAGAAACTTGGTGAGTGCATGACTTCAACTTTCCTTGTAATTCTGCAACCTGCATAAATAGGATTTGGTCCTGATGTTTAGCCTTACCTGCCCTGTGACTCCAAGAAATAAGAACTTCTTTTAAAGCTAACACGGAAGCAGTCTTGTTCACTGATTACAGCCAAGTTGACATGATGGTTTGAAGTTCAGATCTCATTGTTTTCTTCCTGTTGTCTCTCTAGTGCAGTGAGAAGTATCCATCCCACTCAGTGTCCTTGTAGTCATCATTAACATTGTAATCAAGTTCAGTAGCTACTTGGTCCTCAAGGCACTTGCTGGGATAGGAACTTTTTCCCCAGAATGCATAGGCAATAAGTGAATTAATCATCATACCACTTCTGGTTGTGGATTAGTCGTATCCCATTTTTCACTGACAAGGAACTCAGCACTGCATTCAACTCCAAAGACATAAGCATACCAGTCTTTGAATTCTGCCTTTGAAGATGTGCTTCCTTGGAATACTGCTGGTACCAAGCAAAGTAGTCCTCAAAGCCTGGCCAGAAAAACAGGATCAACAGTAGTTATTTCAAACAGAGGGTATTTAATATAGATAATTGATTCTATAATGTTGGAAGATTGACAAAGCAAGAAGGGGACATCAAGGTGACTCAATGATTTAATAATTAATAATTATGATTATTAATGACCGATAATAATATTTCAAGAAAAGACAATACTTGCTAGGGCTGGGGGAACTAAAAGGAGAAATTGGTGTCGCCAGAACTTAAGAGCTGGGACTTCTAGGGGAAACTTTATACAGCCGGTGCTCAGATCTCTAAGAGGGACCTGCTGAAAAGCTATTGCTTGCTTATCTGGGGAGGGCTATCTGCAGGTAATATTTTGACTGACAGGGAAACATGATCCATTTTTGCTTGTGGTAGCTTTAAAGGATGATGCTTGAAGTGCCAAAGGAAACCCACATCGGAAGTGGAGCTGTGTTCTGTTGCTAGGACTGCACAGGCAGGAACTGAAAAGATGAAAGAAGTCCATTTTTCCTTTTTGTTGCTTCCCATTCTCCCTCTGGTACCTTCCATTAGCAATATCTAACAGGAAGTCAGCCTGCTAGTGAGTCTGGGTAATGTGATTTGCTGATTCCCAGCTCCAGAATCACAGAGCAGAAAGAGGTGGGCTTGGAACTGCGTGACAAAAAGTAAATAACCCAAATAGAGTGATGGAAAGGCAAAAATCAATCTGCTGTTTCAGGGTCTCTGCTGACTCCTGGGGACTAAATAGATCCATTACATAGTAATAATGATCATGATGGGAGTTAATAATGATAATTTCTGTTCACTAAAGGTTCTTATGTGCATGCATTTACTAACCCAATCTCATTTGCATAGTGTTGCTTTTTTTATTTCATCTCCTTCATTCTCCACGTCCAGTTAATCTTATCAAGTCTTGCTGATTTTTATCTCTTGAGTATTTTATCGATCCATTTCTCCTCCTTTGTTTCCTCAAGCACAACCTAGTTTCAAGTTTGCACCATTTTTTGCTGCCATTACTGTGGGACTTACCTGATCTCCTTCCTTCCCTGTGCCTTTTTCTAGTCCCTCTTTCACATTCCTGTCAAATAATCTTTCTTCTAAATAATAAAAAAAAATTGTATCATGCCTCGCTAAACCCTTTCAAAGGCTCACCATGGGACACAGGATAGACACAAACCTCCACACATTGGTTCACAGGACCATTGATGGTCCAGCTTGGTTTATTCCTACATAACACATACTATCATACCTCCTTGCTACTGTTCACATTCTCACCTCTGCCTACGATTATCCTTGTATCCCTTGTCCATCTGTACATAATCTCCTTATCCATTCAGGCTTCCTTCAATTGTTCATCTTCTCTGAAGCCCCTTCTCATCTCCCTGTTAGTTTTTAAGTCAACATGTGTGTGTGTGTTTCATCAGAAAGCTATTTGTATCTTCATTCCACTTATTTTGTTATTATCATTAAATTTTAGGCATAATTGGAAGGGAAAGAATATAGACTTTGGGGCTAGACAGTCTTGAGGTTCAATAGAATGTCTGACACTTAAATGGAAGGACATGTGGAATTTGTCCAAGTGACTGAATCTCAGCTGCTGCATCCCAAAAGTGAGACTCTACTGCCCACCTCAGTAGAGTTGTTAGATAAATTAATGATAATATGTCAGTAATTTCCTACCACAATGCTTAGCACATTGTAGACTTTTTCACAACTGTCAGTTCTTTTCTTGACTTCACTGCAGCCTGTCACCCCCACTAGACTTTAAGCATCTTGAAGTCAGAAGTAAGTTCATAGTCATCATATTTCCACAGATCCTAGAACAATATCTGGTGCATAGCAGATAATAAATGCATATGTAGTTTCAGGAGTGGTTCTGCCTTACCTATAATTAATGTGCTTTCTGGTCCATACCATTCCTTGGAGGCAGCATAGCTGGAGTACAGTAATGTATAGCTGGCAGAGGAGTTAAGATTAAATTAGACAATAGCTGTGAAGCACCTAGGAGACTCCAGAACATAGAGAGCTTGAACAAAAGCAAGTTCTTTTCCTTTTTCTTAATATGTAGCACGCCATTCACAGAATCTGAAGGATCTCTTGATGACCTCCAGTCAAAACGAAGCCCCAAATACTCCCTTCCTGAAGATTTTGTCCTCCTCTAATATTATGTGGTTTTGTGTGTGAAACACTTCCTTTAGGACTGAAGATGAGACTGGTATATTGAAGTCACCCAGTGTAGTGGAATGAGCATGGGATTTGGGATCAGGCAGGCCTGGGCTGACCCCTGATGGCACCAGATGTGATTAGTTACTTAATCCTCAAACCTCATTTATTATTCTCTGTGCTGTAGCTTGCCCTTATACCCACCACACAGGGCTATTGTGAGATGACAATGAATCATTCATATGAAGGTACTTTGTAACCTGGAAGAATACCATCTTTGTGCTGGCCCTTAACAAAGATTTCCATGGATACATGCACTGGAACCTTTGCCTGGTAAAGTTCCCCATGGATAAATGAAGGTCTTCAAATAGGCAGGAAATAATCAAATTTCCATGAAAGTTAATTGAGATCTGTGTTTTCTAAAGGCTAATGGTCTGGTGAGAGATGTCCTGAGTCAAGCTAATGTGATGACCCATTTGTTTTTTCAGGTACCAATTATCAAACAGAAGTCACATCTATCACTGTTAACCTGTTTGCACAGTGTCCTCTCCCACCCCCACCCACAAAGTCTCCATGGCCATTATAGGGGAAGAAAATCATACCACTGAAAGACATGAAATACTGATGAGTAAAGGGGGCCCCCAGGAAGCTTGTTTTAGGCATTGCTACATTTCATTAAGCAGCCAGACCAGTATTTGCTTAGGGCCACTCTGTGCTAGGCACAAGTCTATGCATGAGCTTAAGGAAAAGAAGCTGTCACCTCCATGCTCAGAGGACTTGCCTTTTCACTAGGGGTAGAAAGAAGATGTGAAATCCAAATTTCAATGTATAGTGCAAGAGCAGTCACAATTCAATATAAAGCGTGCGTGAGGTGAGGATGGGCCATCATTTAGGACAGTTAATGCTACTTCAGTGTTTTTAATGCTTCCTAACTGAGCAAGATAAATTGTAAATCCCATATCATAGAATCATAGAAGGAAAGAGGAAAATCATTCACCCTTTACCCCAGGGGTAAGAAACTTATTTTCTGTATTGACTTCATACCACTCATCAAGATTTAAAATTATATTATTCTCTCTCTCTCTGTATGTATACGTGGAGAGGAAACATCTTGGTACGAGGATCAATAAATGAGGCTTTTTGGGAGAAGATAAGACAAGATGGATGAAATAAAGTTTAAAAAGACCCAGATAAGATAGTTTCAATTGTGTTATGTGATATAAACTAATTATCTCACACAAAGCAGTGATAATCTATGGCAAATATGTAACAGAAGGTCCAAGAAAGCTGGTAACTTCTTTAGGTCAATTTTAGAACTATGCCTGGAGCCTAGCATCTGTGCAATAATTATCTGTTGAGTTAATTAATTAATTAATTATTATTCTCAGTTCTCAGTCTCCTGTACTGCTCTATCCAAATACTTTGTCCCCAGGAAAATGTAAACTTTCCTAACACTAATATCTCTTTGTGAGATAAAAACTTTCCAATCCTATTGGAGTCTTTACTTCTTTTTCACTTGAAGTCTAAGGGACATGCAAGCTTTATAGCTAATTTTCATTGATTGTGAGCATATTTTCCATTACGTCCTTGAGCATAGTTATAATGTCTGCTAATTCCAGCATCTGAATCATCTTGGGGTCTGCCTCAGTTGGTTGTCTTTTCTTTTAAGGATGGATCACAGTTTCATATTCCTTCTCATGTTGAACAATTCTGGATGCCGTCCTGGATATTGTGAATGCTGTGTTGTGGAGACTCTAGATTCTGTAATATTCTTCCAATGAGTGTTTTTTGTTGTTGGCGGTGGTGTTCTTGTTGTTATTTGTTGGCTTGTTTGTTGTAGTGGACAATTAACATGGTTGAACTCAAATTGCAACTTCTACCTTTTGGGCAGCAGTTCAAATCTCAGTTCAGTTATTTCATTGTGAGTCCAGCTGTTTGGAGTCTGCCCCACACATGGATGGTTTAGGATCAGCTGGGGATTTGGACAGAATATATACACAGAGTGTGTGGCTCCCTTCCCTGATTCTTTCCTGTCTAGGTTTCTGTCTCACTTTACAGAGGTTGAAGTTGCCTGAATTCTGTCCTATGGTCTTTCAGGCCAAAAATGCTATAGTCTTTTATAGGAGTGGTGCCCTGTCCTCATGCTAAAGATACATAAACAGGAAACAGGAGTGCAATAACGAGAGTGCAATGAGAGTGCAATTTGAACTTGATTTGTAGATTTAGGAGGAATCAGAATTTAGCTGGTATTTGAAAGCACTTGAATTCTCCTTCCTTTCACTATCTTTTACTATATTTTCCAACTCTACCCCTCATTTTTGCTGAGGAAGCAGAGTTACAAGAACTCTTGGGGAGTCCCCAGTATCCTGTCCCTCAACTAGAAGATACAGTACCATCTCCTAGATGAGAGGTGTGGAATTCTAGGAGCTCCTTACTTGAGAGCCCCTTGAGAGATAATCATAAAAAGATGTTATAATAAAATTTTGCATTTAAATTGCCTCTTATTCTTAGGATGTCAAAGTGCTTTACAAACACAAATTGCTAGGAATCTTTTAGGTTAATTAAAATGAGCAGATTTCCCAGACAAAGGAGGTGATTGTTTTTGTACTTTTGGGTGTTCTTTATAGGTGAGTGAATTGAGGCACAATAGGTTCTTTAACTAGTCAAACCATGATTTTCTGAGTACAAGTGAATTCAGAATGAGCACACCAAACACTCTGCCAAATTTCGTTGCTGTTCAGAATAATAATGATAGTAATATCAGTGATTCATGAATACTGGTGTTCACAATAAGGGTATTTGTGCTACCATTTATCAAATGGCTGCAGCAAGTCAGGCTTTGTGCCTGGCATTTGGTTTGCAGTAGCGCATGGTTTCTTCCCAATGCTTCTGTAAGGTAAGTCTTCCCTTCACTTCTTGCTGCTGTAAGATGGGTCTTATCTTTACTTTACAGCCCAGGAAACTGAGGCTCAATGCCATTAAGCGACTTGCCACAGGTCCTCCAGCTAGGAAGTGGCAGAGCTGGGATTTTAACTCAAGTTTGTCTGATTATTTTGCCTATGTTCTTCTTCACTATCAATATCATTACCAAGCATTACTTTTCTTTCCTTATCCCTAAACTGCTGAAGAATATGACACATTCTCATCAGAAATAGAAGCTCATCCTAGATCTGCTGTCTTGGAATGCGAGTTAAGCATGGCGATTAGAGATGAAGGTAGATTGTTGGTAGAAGTCAGAATATGGGGGGTGGGGAGGCACTTGCAAAATAAACTAAGGCATTTGGACTTTATTCTGCTGTATATATCATCCCATTTGCCATTGTTAATCTTCAGCACTCAGTGGTCCAAAAGGCAAAGGAAGGAGACTATCATTCTCTTGAGCATATGCCATGGGTAGAAATGGTAGTAAACATGTTGCCAAATTTTATTCTTATAAAAACCCTGCAAGGTAGATTCTCATCTCCATTTTACAGAGTAAGAAACTAAGATTTAGAGAGATTGAAGGATTTTCTCAAAGTTGCATCAAAAGCACTTAAAAAATGTCACTAGCTTGTTTAACTCCAAGAGCTGTTCCTGCCATTCTTACACTATTTAAAAAGTCACATTCTAATCAGATCTGATGAAAATCTGGTGAATCAAATCAGTCTGAATTGAAGATGCCCACCTATGTTGACATGCTATAGAAAGATTTTCTGTTCAAGGTGGACACATGGTTGCCAAGTTGGTATTTGGAGACTGTTGTGATTTTTCCAACCTGGTCACACCAGCAAAGCACAAGTGTGCCCTTGCCATCATATCCATACTAGCCTTGGCATGCTTATGTTTGCAGACATCCTTGCCCAGAGATAAGCCCACTGGTGTTCCTTTGTTGTTCTAGTTTCTGTTTTGTTCATAGAATTGTTTATGGAGCCAAGATTCTGTCCTGTGACCCAGTCTTTGATACCACAAGGAGCAGGTTGCTGTGATTGGAGCACAGATCAGACTGCCATGTGCATTTCACAGAAGGCCATACTCAGGGCACAGTATCCACTGGCAAAGCCCACAGGTGCTTTGGTCCCTGCTGCCCAGCTCAAATGAATACATTTTGACTAATATTTTTATAAAGTAAGCCACTTATCCACGATGCATTGCCGTTGTTCCCCTCATGTCACAGTAACAAAGCACATCATACAAAAGACAACACAGGGGTGTTTTCCAGAAAAATGGAAGAAGTTTCCACATAAGTGTGATTTTTTTCACCAAATAAGATACTTGGTCCCACCATGATATGCCCAATAAACTTCTCTTCTTGTGAATCCAGGGTCTCTCATCATTTTATCACCAAGGACATTGCTTGGTTCCATGTTTGCCCTCTCCATTGCCCAATTTTCATATCTAGGATAAGCATTCAATTAAATGCTCCCTGTCTATCACAGTGCATAAAGGTGAAGGACTCCAGCTCTCTTTAACAACACTATTACAAAATGGGACTATACCAGCCCTCCCAGTACAGCAGGGCATGCAGATTGTCATAGATGAAGTAGTCCAAAGGCCAGGAAATGCAGGATGTTAGAAAGCTGAAATAGCCCTCATCAACAATGCAATGTGAACAAGGTGGCTTTGAAATATCTGTTGAATCCAGACCCCCAGCCTTCAGCTATATGACTGGAGTAGCTTACTTCAATTCCATTGAGGAATCAGATTTGAAGTTTCCCCTACAATTTTTAAACAAGGGGTGGCATGATCAAAACTGTGATTTAGAAAAATTACTTTGAGGGTAGACCAGAGGGCTATTTGTGGTCTTCAAGTATGTATTTAGATTCACTTTTGTGGATTTATTTTAAAAAGTTTATTGTGGACCTAATTCTCAGAGATAATTGAGATCTGGTGAGGTAATGAAGTTGAAAATCCACAAAAACTTCCAAAACTCTCTACATAAACTATGTATAGATATTGTTATCGCATTTGATAAGTAATATTTAATACAACAATGCTGTTATTGTACTTTAATAAGTCATATAATAGTATTATTGTATTTGAATACAATAGTGGTACTACATAGTAAAGCAGCACACCTGTAAAATGAGAATAACACTCCAAGCTTCCTAGGTGGTTAGGAGACGTCCATGGGACACCATGAATGGAGCCTGGTGCATGGCTTCAGCCAGACATGGAGCATCGGAAGCTCTGCATCATCTGAGAGGAGGATCAGGGATTGTACTGAAGGAGTCATATGGTCAAGGGCAGGTGGGTGGGACTGCTCAAGCCATGTCCTAGAGCTGAGCTGTCTCCAGTCTGACTGGTGCCACTGTTTAGTAGCTATGCAACACTGGCATAGACCTCCCTCTACTTGAACCTTGTGTTTCATATTAACTCTAAGAACTAGGCTTGATTGGTATCCCCAATTCATATACAGTGATGGGTTCACAGATAATTAGCTTCTCAAATGCTCATGCAGGGTCCTAACATGATAGTAGACAACAAATGTCATAGCCATGCTGAGGAGAGCTTTGAATGTCATTTCCAAAAGGAATTGTAACTTGAAGTCACTCTGATACCACTTATTATGCTGTAACCAGGTAAGATGGGGCAGGAACATCAGAAGATGGGATCTGGGGTCTCACAAACCTTAATTGGAATCCTAAGCTTCTGCTTCTTACTAGCTGAGTGATCCTGGGCCAATAAATTGCTTATATAAGCCTCCGGTTCCTCATCTATAAAATGGAAACACCTACACCTATCTTGACTTTGAAAAGCATAGAGCAGATCACGGACAGGGCAGATGCTCAATATATATCATCTTCTTTTTTTTTTTTTTTAGCTTTCCCAATTATTCTCACTCCTAAAGAAAATGAAGTCTCAGAATTGAATAAATCCAAGAGCTTCAGAAACAACATTAGATTCATATTTAGACAGCAATTGATTTTTTTCTTGGTTAAGAAAAATTATACATTTGCTTCTAAAATATGAAGAGTGGTGATTATGATTCATGCACACATGATTCATAAAGAAAGCTGGAGCTAAAACACAGCTAAACTAATAATATTCCATCCTTGTGACTAAAGCTTGTCTAAGCTTAGAATGTGTACCCAGAGTTAGAGCAAAGAATCCCAAGGACAATTTTGCTGATGCTTTGATTTAATAATAGGGGCACAAGCAGAAAACATTGTTGTTTCCTCATAGCCCACCTCCCCAAGCTGGATGCACTTCTGTCATCTGCAGCTCTTCCCTTCTCTTCACCCACTTGGTTTCCAAGTATGACTGATTTATGGTAACACTGTTCAGGGCCAGGCATCAACCTCTCTGTTATGGTTTATTGCCATAGCCCCTAACAGATGTCCCAACCTCTGATATCTCCCCTTCTCCAAAAAACCTATTCTCTGTCTTTTTACTAAAGTGGATTCTTAAATAATGGTCAACTGTGTGGCTGAGAAGAAAAGTCATAGACTTGGCCATTTGCCATTTTCTCACCATGTGACCAACCTTCAGCCATCTAACCTTGCTGATCATGTATTTCATCATCTACGAAATAGAGATTACATCTATTTAATCTCTCTTTTATGAGGATTTAGTGTATTTAAAATAGCTTACACAGTTCCTGAAATTCAAAAGGTAATCAGTAAATTTTGTTTGTTCTTCAGTGTCTCTTCATCGCTGGAAAAATCAGAACTAATTTTATCATGACATCCTAAGCCCTCCACAAGTGTCCTTTACCTTTCACTATCTACATACAGCATGTTACATACTTTCTTGCCTTTTGTCTCATGGTTCTGACTTGGTACTTTTTCCATCAGAGTCTTGTGGGAACCAATGCTTGGATTGTTTTTCCTATCGTGTTCCTATTGATTGGGTACCTGGGCTGTTGCAAGAAATTGAAGGTCCTCTGGGGCCCTATCACCCCAACAAACTGAAGCAAACACTGCCACAGGTCTACACTCCTGTCTCTAATTCAGTGGACATTCATCAACAACCAAGTGTGTGCTCACGCTGTGTTAGATATTATCACGGTAGCTATGGATCTGAATCAGATGTGGTCACTGACCTTAAGGAGTTCACATCTTAATAGGAGATGAGAAGGCAAAACTAATCCAAACCTAAGTATGTACCAAGGAGAATGAGAAAAGTACCAAGACTGGTTGGGGACGAGGGGATGAATAAGGAAGAGAAGACAGCTGGTTTGGAGGACATGATTGAAGACGTGAAGGAAGACCATGATATGAGAGACTTGCTGAGGAATAGGTGCAATCTCAGCAGGTAGCTTGGGGTCGTGGAGATGACACAGGCTCTGGATCCAAAGAGAGGGACTTTGGATGCTGGCCCTGCTTCTTACCAGGAATTCCCTGTACCTGGAAAGCTCTGTCACACGGTCCTATTAAGGCATGCTCCTTCTTATCCTTCAGTGCTGTATTCAGATGTCAGTTCTCTGAGTCCTTCTACAAACACTTTCTAAAGGCACCTTTGACCCTTATGCTGACTGCAATCGCTCTTCATATCAGACACTCTTGGTGTCTAACCATTATACTCTCGTAGCTTTTATTTCCAAAGATGCCTGTAATGATATCTCCTGTTCCATACTGCCTGTCCTTTTACCACACCCCCATGGAAAGGCAGAATCTCCTTTTCTTCCCTTTGGATCTGGGCCAGCCCTCTCACCTGGCTTGACAAGTAGGATGTGACTGAAGTGCTGTGGTTTACTTTCCAAAACTGGACCTTAAGAGATATCTGTAGCTTCCACCCTCACCTTCTGGAATGTTCTCTTTTGGAGGCCAGCACCAACTTGAACTCTGACTGCCCAGCAGGAGCTAGAGGCCAGAAACCAATTTGCACATTCCAGCCACAACTGAGAGCTCCCAGGCAGGATGTGGAGTTGTGCAATTGAGTTCCAATCCATAGAATTGGGAACAAACAAAATTGTTGTTACTTTAAGTGGATAAGTTTCAGGGTGATTTTGGTAGGCATCAATAGATATCCAAAACAGGTACTAAATATCCTTGTAGTGTCCTTCTGAACATTAGAAGTAGTGTATGCCAAGTGTCTGACTGAGGGTGGCTCATAGTTGATCAATAAGTAGTGGCTGCTGTTATCACTACAGATGGAAGAGGAAACCACATGAACCGAGTACAACCTATATGAAGAACGCCAATAGGGGAGGTGGGGCTGCAAAGGGATTGAATGCAGGAGTGAAAAATTTACACGAAACTTGCAATCTGTGTATGCTGTCCTCTCCAGAAAGTGCTACTTTAGCTGAAATTTCATACTTTTGGTGCAATGGATATAAAGTTTCAGTTATACAAGATGAATAAGCTCTAGAGATCTTCCCTACAAAGTTGTGCCTGTGGTTAGCAATACTGTATTATGTGCTTAAAAATTTATTACGAGGGTAGATGTCCTGTTCAGTGTTCCTACCCCAATAAAAATAAATAAATCCGCAAATTACTAGGAGAAAAAAAATAATCCGGGCACATTAAAAACAAAGCAAAACAAACAAACAGCAAAGCTGGGACCCAAGACCCGTTTTTGTCCCTTGCTTGCTTTCTGTTCTAGAATGTATCTCCTTAGGTCTCAGTCAGTTTCTTTGTTCATTATGGTGGTCAGAGAGGGTTTCTGAAAGGGACCTTCCAGATGTAAAAAATTCCAGCCCTGATTTTTAAAGAACCTAACAGCAAGTCTTTTCTCCTGCCAAGGCAGTGTCTTTGATCTCTTCTCTGGGCTGGATGACATCTCTGTCTGCTGCCCTCTTTGTAAGCTGGTGTTTTTACCAGGCTTAAAGCAAAACACAGTCATTGTGTGGGATTTGCAAACAGTCCTTAACAGAAAGCTGCCAGCGCTACAAGCTTGTAAAATTGCTATAAAGGAACTGGAGAGGAGGCTCAGAAAGCAAATTAGCATTTCAGAGAGGTAGTTGGAGTTAGTCAGCTTTCTCATTCCTTTTGTCATCAACAAATTGCTGTTTCCTTGCTTTAGGTGCCAAGCAAGTGCCGTTAAAGCAGAGTTCATCACACTGGGCTTGAGCTCACTCAGCCACTTCCCACATTTTTCTTCAATAATGATGGCAGCCACAAGGATAGCAGGAATAATGGTGATGATAATAAAAGTCAATTCAAGAAAGATCTATTGGCCACCTGTAATAAGCCATGCAAGTTTTCTAGGACATGGGATCAAAGTGTGAATAAGACATTGTCCTGTCCTTGGCTTACTCGTGCACCATCGTGGAAACAGATAGGAAAATAAATTACAGTGCAGTGAAGTGAGTGCAAATACAGAGGTGCAAATGGTACCAGGTTAATTAACTCTGCCTGAGGAACAGGGTCTCCCTTGACCTCAAAGACTAAAGCCAATGCCCCACTATGTTGTTTTAAAGCTCCCTGTTGTTTTCCCTCATAGCATTTACTGCAGTTGGAAATTGCATTTGAGAGCGACACACATGAGCCCTCTCCTCAAAAATGTCAGCACTGGAAGAATATGGAGTATGGCTTCTTATTCACCACCAAATCCTCTGTACCTTGGCCACTGCCCCCTCCATGGTAGGCCCTCAGGGCAGTTTGTCGAATGAAATAAGGGAGTAAAAGATCAGAGAAGACTTGTAAGAGAATGAGATATTTGAATTAGGTTTTAAACGATGAATAGAAGCCTGCATTCAAAATAGCATGAATAAAGTAAATCTAAAAATATCGACAGTTTAAAAGGAAAGTGTGACTTCATTAGTTAGCCCTTTGTTATGGAATTGGCAGGGATCCTTACAAGACTCATAGACATCTGAATCTTCCAGGAGGTGGGTTTTGTGGTGGAAAGAGCCTGGGGTAAAATTATTAATATTGATGGTTCTAAGCCCAGGACCCACCACTGGTTAATCTCTGACTCCCAGTTACCACTCTGCAGATTGAGGAGAACGTTCTCTGTCCTTTTAGAATCAGATGAAGTAACACAGATGAGTTCTTTGGCAGCTACAGATGACCTTCTCCAGACACATGACTTCAATTTTATGGTTCTTTTATTGCATCAAATATGATACAATGGCCTGGGCAGTGAAATACATCTCTGCCTCAGTGCCCCCTTGGGACAGAACATTCTGTACTGTGGTCCACCAGCCCTGGTTTGAATCCAAGGTCCTCTAGTTTCCAGCTGTGTAGGATAGATGTGTTACTTAATCAGTTGGAGCCTCTGTGTTTCCTCATTTTAAAAATGGAATAATAATGTCTAATTTCCTTGGTTCTTGTTAATATGTTTTATTATTTATTTAAAACATATTCAGCAATGTATCAGCACAGTTTCCAGGATGGATTGGATTACAAGTTAATGTACATAAAGCATTTATCCCAGATCTTGATGCACAGTTGATACCCAACAAATGGCAGCTGATGATGATGGTGATACTATTATGGTTACTGGAGGAGTAGACAAAGATGGGAGTTAAAAAGAGGAAGAGGACTTTGAGGAGGTTCATGTGGTATGCATGGGCATTGAGAAAATAGGAATGCTCTGGACAGGTTGATGGGATGGGAATTCCAAGCAGACAGAACAATCTGGGTCAAGACCAGTACAGAAACACACAGGGTGCATTTGGGATGAGTAGGGGTTTATTATATCAAGAATGAAAGGTGCATCAAGGCGATAGAAATTGAAATCTGGGAAGTTATTATCATATAGCTGCTGTTTAAACATTCTACATTGTAGGGCTAGATTAGTGTAGCAGTATTATAGGGTACATGTAAGTCCAGTATTAGTAAATACTGCTGCATGGTTTTCCAAACTATAGGCTATGTTAAATCAATAGCATCGCTAAGACTCATTTACTCACTGTAAGCATTTATTGTGCCAATAAGTTCTCGCACCGTAAATTTTCCAAGTAATTCTCACATCCACTTTATGAAGGTAGATATTATAAATCTTATCTTATAGGTCCAAGCTCAGAAATGTAGTTTTTATTGCAGGATAAAACATAGGACTTCAAGAAAATCAAGTTAAAAGGCAGATCTCAACAAGCCAATGCCATGGAAGAAAATTAGAAATTTTTTACACTGAAATATACATTTGTATATTTTGATGAGTTTTCTCAAACTCAAAAATCCAATTTAACCATCACCTAGATCAAGAAACAGATCATCATCCACACTCCCAGAAATCCTCTTTGTGCTTGTTTTCCAGTTACTACTAATCACCACCACCAACGGTAGTTACTATCCTGATTTCTGACACCATGGATTATTAGCATTGACTCTTTTTGAGCTTTATGTAAATGGTATCATACAGTGTGTATTATTTTGTGTTTGGCTTCTTTTGCTCAGACTTGGTTATTCAATTCATCTGTATTTCCCTGTACAGTGGTATTTCATTCTCTTTGCCATATAGTGCCCAAAGAATGAATACATCACAATTCATTTACCTATTCTACTAAGATTTGTGTAATTTCCAGTATTGGAGTAGTACAAGAAATGACAAGAACATCTTATATATGTCTTTTGATGCATATTTATGTGCATTTCTGTTGAGTATATTACTAAGAATGGCATAGCTGTGTTATAGGGTATGTGTATGCTTAGTTTTAGCTACATAGCTTTCTAAAGTGGTCATGCAAATTTACATTTACTCCAGCAGTGCATTATTGTTTCAGCTGTTCACATCCTCACACATTTGGTATTGTCTGCCTTTTTCATTTTGGCTATTCTGGTCAGTGAGAAGTGATATCATGTTATGATTATAACTTGCATTTATAAGATTGTAAATGAAGTTGAGCACCTTTTCATATGATTATTTGTCTTTTGGCACAGTATTTTGATGTATAGTTTGAAACTTAGGTTCCTTTCTTGATGTGCTTGCCACGTTGTGCTAAAATTCTCCAATTCCTGTGAACTCTGTGACGGTTTAAACTGAGCCTTCTTTCTTCATGTGACTTCAGCACCTAGGACAGTGTCTGTCTAACAATTTGTTGTCTGAAGCTCAGGGTCTACACTGAGTAAGACGTGAAGCTAGGATGAAAGGCCAAACGTGGTGGATGCTAATCTTATGTTCTGACCCCTCTGAAGAGGGTGAATTAGGCTTGGTTCACCCTTCCTTCTCCATTGGGCCAGGGTGATTCCAAATGGAATACTCAGTTAAGCCAATGGGTGGAGTCTTTGAGAACAATGGGCATTCTAATATGGCCACTGTAGGGAGCACATCTGCAAGGGCTAGAACTGCATTCTCTCTGGACAGTCTTATAAATACAAGAGTAGGCTCTGTCCCAATGCCCTCCACAACCACATCTTATTCATGAGGAGCCTTGTCAGAGCAATATTTGTCTTCTCACCAACCACATTCGATGTTTCCAAGTAAGTGCTTGTGGCTGAGATATAGTGCCTAAAATTACATGCTTTGGGGTTCAGTTCCACTTCTCATTTAGTCTATTTGATCTGTGGTCAAATTACTTGCCCTCTCTGAGTCTTTTTCAAACATAATATTGGAGTAATCTCACCCACCTTAAAGGTTATTGTAAGGATTAAATTGTCCATGAGTAAAACATTCTCAGGAGAGACCTTGGCAACTAGTCATCACTCACTCAATGCTGGATCTTATTATTAAGGGTAATACTTGGAGTGTGTAATTTTGAGATTTAGTAAAAGATAGCGATGAGCATTTGGATGTCTCAACATGACTTTGGGATGTGTTGTGACAGACATGTTTTGAAGTAAGAGACAAATCAGTGGAGTAGACTATGGCTAACTGAGCTTTGCAGAGGTTACACGGTAGCAATGCTTAGCAAGTACACTTTGAAAAGCTACCAGGGAAATAATATTCACAAAATGAAGTGTGATGTATGGCTCAGAAAATGTCATAGCCAAGGGAAGGAAGAGGAAGTTGCCTGGGAGGCTGAAGTGAGAGATGAGGCTAAGGGCAGTGAAGCCAAATCAGAGAGGGCTTTGAATGCTGCACTAAAGAAGTGGATTTTAGTGTCGAGACACTGGGAAACCAGTGGAGATATTTGATAAAGGAGTAAGTAGATGAAGCCATTTTTCAGAAGATGGGCCTAAGGGGAGCTGAGGGATTAGCGTAAGTTAAGTTATTATGTCACTGTCATTCATTCTTGGACTCTGGAGAGTAATACAATTCCCCTTGCGGCCATGCCCTCTTAATTAGCTCTTCCCACTATTGAACTGCCTCTTGTCCTTCTGTCTTCAGCCACTTAAATCATTGATGATCTCCTGCAAAGTCATCTTTAGCTCTACTCCTTGGGAAGCTTCATGGGAAAGGGAAGGAGGTCTGGGATCAGTTGGAGACCTGAGTCCCAGACTTATCTCTGCTGCTACCTTGCTGTGTCCTGGGGTGTCTCTTTGCCTCCCTGGGTTTTAGTTCCCAGAAACTATATTGAGAGAGCTAGCCTGGAAAGTTCCCTATCAGGCAAAGATTCTACGATTAAATCCTTTGTCATTGTCACCACAGACAGCTAAATTGGGAGCTATGGAACATTACAGGAAGGTCAGGGTCAGTTCAACATCATGGGAAGGGAACTGTTACTTATTAGACACCTGCTCTGGGCCAGATACTGCATGAGGCCCTTTGCTTGCAGTGACATAGCTCACCAATTCAGATTTACAAGAAATGTAGCTGTTTTTCTGTATTTGAGCCTCATTTCTGTTTGAACCTCCAGGCCATGGGTAACAACAGCAAAGTCCAGAATCTTTCCTCATTCTTCTGTGAGGTTGAAGCCAGGTTCCTGCACACTATTGGAGATGGGGCTTGAGGAGGGGAGATTGGGTGTTTAGCCCTTATTATCTGTCTTCACCAGCATCTTTTGTTTTGTATCTTCCTGTAGGATCCTCAGTCATCAACCTCCCACCCCTTACTCCAGGGCTTTCACTTCCAGCTCCCTGAAGCCTTTAAGGTCCTTCTTTCATTTTATTTCTTTGTTATTTTAATTAGTTTATTGAGGTCATAATCATTTATAACATTGTGTAATTTCAGGTGTAAATTATTATTTATCAGTTTCTGTATAGACTGCATCGTGCTCACCACCAATAGTCTAATTTTTATCCATCACCGTATATGTGCTCCATTACCCTTTTCATAAGATAACTTCCCTTCTGGTAACCACTAATCTGTTCTCTTTATCCTTGTGTTGTTTACGTTTCACATATGAATGGAATCATGTGGTGTTTGTCCTTCTCTGTCTGGCTTATTTCACTTAACATAGTACCCTCAAGGTCGATCCATGTTGTTGCAAATGGGACAATTTTGTCTTTTTTATGGCTGAGTAGTATTCCATTGTATATATATACCATGTCTTCTTTATCCATTCATCAGTTGATGATCGCTTGAGTTGTTTCCACATCTTGGCTATTGTGAATAATGCTGCAATGAGCATAGGGATACATAAATCTGTTTGAATTGTGGATTTCAAGTTCTTCAAATAAATACCTAGTAGTGGGATAGCTGGATTGTATGGTATTTCTATTTTTAATTTTTTGAGAAATGTCCATACTGTTTTCCATAGTGGCTGTACCAGTTTGCAGTCCCACCAGCAGTGTATGAGGGTTCCCTTTCCTCCAAATCTTCTCAGACATTTGTTATTTTTTGTCTTGGTAATTACAGCTATTCTGTCAGGTGTAAAATTATATCTCATTGTAGTTTTGATTTGCATTTCCCTAATAACTAGTGGTGTTGAACATATTTTCATATGCCTTTTGGTCTTCTTTGTATATCTTCTTTGAAAAAGTGTCTGTTCGATATCCTCTGCCAAGTTTTTGATCGGATTGTTTATTATTGTTGAGTTGTATGAGTTCTTTATATAGTTTTGAAATTAATCCCTTGTCAGATATATGATTTGAAAATATTTTCTCCCAGTTGGCAGATTGTATTTTCGTTTTGTTCATGGTTTCCTTTGCCTTGCAGAGGCTTTTTAGTCCGATGTATGTTTGTTTGTTTTGCTTATTTTTGTTTATTTTTTCTTTTGTTTCCCATACCTGAGTAGACATGGTATTCAAAAAGATGCTGCTAAGACCAGTGTCAAAGTGTACTGACTATGTTTTATTCTAGGAGTTTTATGGTTTCAGGTCTTACGTCCAAGTCTTTAATCCACTTGGAGTTAATTTTTGTGTGTGGTGTAGGATAATGCTCTACTTTCACTCTTTTGCAAGTGGCTGTCAAATTTCCCCAACACCATTTATTGCAGAGACTTTCCTTTCTCCACTGCATGTTCTTGGCTCCTTTGCCAAAGATTAGCTGACACCAGTCAGAGCCTATGGAACTCTAGGAACCTCCCAAGGTCAACCCAGGGCTGAGGACACAGGCACTTTCTGCAAAGAGGTTCCTCCAAGTCATCTGGTGACTCTCATTCTCTCTTTAGAAGAAGGACACTCAGCCAGGGTGGGGGCAAGAGCATGGGACCTCTTAAGAGGGATTGAAGAAGTGGTGCAGCCATCTTTTCTTCCCCCTCACTTATCTCTCAAATTGTCCAATCAAACTATCTAGTTTCTAGGTTGAGGAGAGGGAAGGATTGGTTACATTACAATCTTCTAAAGCTATTACTTATCCTGAATTCCTAGACTTTTGAAACCTCAAAATCTTTACTATCAAATTACAGTCTTGCCCATTAAATTCTAAACTCTGTTTTGAAACTTAAAACCAGTACCAACCTTTCTCTTTTTATGTATGATTCTAATGTGCCATCTCTCTCCTGGACATTGGGAATGCAGAGTGCACAGTTGCTCCAATGGAAGGTGGGGCAGGGAAAACAGTCTGCTGGAAGAAAAATATCTGTTTATATTTCAAAATTTTACTCCATTCGTGTTATTTTCTGTAATGTTCACCACCACCCTTTGTATGAGGCCATGCTGGTCCATTATAGTTTTGATCTTATGAATGAGGAAACTGAAGTTCAGTGGGTAAGTGATTTGTCAAAGATCACTTAGCTTAGGGAAGAGAGTATCAGAAATCCTCCACATTCATTACTTAGGTGGAAACTGAATGAGCTGTATCAGGCAGTAATGAGCTTCCTATCTTTGGAGTGTGTGTGTGTCTCTGCACGTGCGTGTACAAGCTCACATATAAGGAATTTTAAACAGATTGACTTGTTAAGTAATCACAGAAGTTCCTCAGTATTTTAGAGTCCATGATCTGCAGACATATTTCTCAAGATATAGAACTTTGGATGCTTCCTGTTCTCACTCTGGGAAATAAAGCCAATTTTGGAGGTGGGGTGCTGGGAGATGAGAGTCGTTGGCCTAGTCAGAGTAAAGAGGGACGTGAAAAGTAATTGTCCCCTTTCTCCCAGATTTGCTCTGCATGTTTTACTTGTCATCTCACAAGCTCTCAAATGCACAGGTTGGAGGGACAGATAATTGGCCTTGCTGGATTGCACCAATGGCTCATCAAACTGTGGGCTGAATATAGAACTGGTTGTAAGAATACATGTTTTTATTCTGATCTCTCCCAACACAGGAGTGAGCAGTTTGCAGATTTATGTTGGAATTGTCAGCGTTGTGTTTAAAAGAAAATTAGTTTTTGCCAGTCTTCTTCCTTTATTCGATTCACCCATTCATTCAATAAAGAGTCATGAAGCCCTCAGGGTGCTAGACAAAAAGCTTTTGTCCCTGTCCCACTGTTTGCAGTGTGTTTTGAGAAAAATGAATAATTTAAAGCAGACATATACTTAGGGTGCTTCCAACATCTCAGAGAAGGTATGTTTAGACCAAAGGTCTTTGTGGAAGATGTCCTAGATTACTGTATAGGATGATCCTTAAACCATGTCATTAATAATACGTAAGAATTAACCAGAAGGTGGGAGGGAGGCTCTTTAAGGCAGAGGAAACGGATGAGCAAAGACTTGGAAGTATTAAACAGACGGTGAGATGGAGGAAACCTAAGCTGGAAAGTATCAATGAGGGTGGGAGTTGGGAGAAGTTGGGAAGAGAGAGAGCTAACAAGGGAACTCTTCATCGGTGTGATTCAGAACCTACTCGATGCACAAGTGCTTTGTTTCTTCCATTTTACTATGTGCCCTGGTGAAGGTGAGAGGCTATGAGAACAAAATGAAAAGATATGAAATTGTAAAAACTTTCAAACTAAAAGGGACACAGTTGGAGTCACCCAGCCATAGAGAAAGAAGGCTTGATAACCCCATTGACTGGGCATCTCTTCTGTGTTAGACACTGTCCATCCTAGCCTAGCTGGCCCAGAAAGCAGAGCTTGAGACAAAGGCTTGTGTGCTCGCAGTCCTAGGGAGTGTGGTTCTAGGTTGCAGGAGAGAGGCTCAGGGAAACAAAGCATGGAAGAAGAGAGAGCCAATGCAGATGTTACCCACGTGGACATCTTGATAGTTACAAGTTGCATACTC